TAAATTCGAGGTGAAGTATAGGCCATTCCGCGCCAGCTTGTCATGTTTTTTTTTCCGCCAAAAGGCCAGGTCAAATTTAACTAGCTTTCGCTTCAAGACCTTTGTTTTTTGCCGTTATAAAAGCAGAAATTTGATCTAATTTGGTATACGGTCTTTTTGGCGGAAAGAAAAACGTGACAAGCTGGCGCGGAATAGGTTATATCTATGTGGATCAGAATCTGAAAATGGCTCGCGAATTCAGTTTCGAAGAAAAATACTTGAGAAAAATATTTAGAAAAAGCCCCTTCGCCCTGTTCAGGAAAGCTCGAAAAAAGAAGGTGTAAATACATTTCTAAGCTTGTTTTTTCCAAGGCCAACGGACAGGCAGCCGTCGGAAAGTACGAAGGCGAAGACGCCGCCGAGTCTCTTTTCATCGCCAAACATTCCCATTGAGCAACTTTTCACAATCGATTTATACTTTATTCATGTAGATTGATTCGGAAATAAATTAGCAAAATGAAAAAGAAAACTAATTTTCGAAGAATCAATGGTTATTATTTAAACTTTTTTGACAGCAAGTCAGTACTTCCTTGAGAGCAAGGATTGTAAACCAGAAAAACGACAGAAAAGAGTCGGTACGGGTCCTGGAGGCTGTTCTGAAGACGTGAGCCTAGATGCATTGGACCATAAATCCGCAGACGGTGGCGACGACGTTGAGAGAAACGCAGTCGCGGACCGATCTCGAGATGAGCTGGTAGTCGACCTCGAAGTCGGAGGTTGACTTCAGACGGGTGTCGGAAGGCAACGCCGGCTCGCAGGTACCACGACGACCGGGTCGCTTCAAAATATAGGGGTAATATATTCAGTGAACCATGAGTTTTCGATTATATTTTGAATAGTTCCTTAATGCTAATCAAAATATAGTCTATTCAGATTTCAATTTCAGTCGCTACGTTCGAAATCTGAGAAGGCTTTGTCTCCTTGAAATTGTACAGAAGATCCATCTTTTTGAGGAAACGTATGTGGCATTTGTATTTTTGTGCGTTCGCGATGCGTATGGACACCACTTCAAAAATTATCGCACCTTGTAAATTTTTTAAGGATGGAATATACGAATAAAGCTCACTGCAAAACTTTTTCGAGCGTTCATCCGCCCGACGGATGAACGCTCCAGAGGTGGAGAAATGGCGCCCCTAAGCGTTTTCAAACGTTTACATTTCTAAACCGACGTAGGTCGCCATGGCCATTTCTTGATGAGTCGCTGCCCAGGGCGCCCGGGGCCAAAACTGCGATGACAAAAAAACGCCATTGGAAGAAAAAGAAAGCGCAAAAATTGGAATCTTCTGAAATCTTGTAAACTCGTTGTTTTCGAAGCTTTAAAACAAGGATTTTTGAATTTCCAACTTGGTGGCGACGGAAATTTATTCTCTCCATAGTCAGCGAGTTCATGACCATAAATCTGGAGCATTTCGCCTAAAGAAAAGAACAAATATAACCGTACATCACATAAAAAAATTCAAATGGACATCATAACCACTGAAAAATTAAAAAAATTATTGAAAAAATTGCGAAATCCACGATTCAAAATTAGTCCCGCGCGATAAAACATCGACGCGAAAAGGTACCGTTTCAGCAGGGGCGGAGTTAGCTGGTTGACATTCAAAAATCTGAACAAACTATAACTGATCCGTTCAAAAATTAATCTATTATTAAATATTAAAATAAAAAAAGACCTCAAGGAAAAATAATCGGAAAAACCTTCACTATGGTAACAAGAAATTAATAGAGAACACAAAGTGAACAAAGATGAATCGGGAAGTCGATACAAATAGCTACCGGGTAGCAACTTTTGAAAAAGTCAATCGGCGTATGGTAATCGGTGGTCGTTTGTATGCGACCGGGTACCATCTTTATGGATGCAAGTAGCTACCGGGTAGCTACCTGACATTCGCGATTTCTTTCGGAAAGTCTGGAATTGGTTCCCGGGTCGTTATTTTTTGTGTCAGCTTTATCAAATAAGACCCTGGAAGGCTTGGGTAGGTGTAAAAAAACACTGATGGTATATAAACGACCGATGTGCCAGCCAGTGGCAATCGCGAATTTCAGGTACATACCCGGTAGCATCCAGATACCGATCAGGTACTATCCAGGTACCATAGAGATAGTACCCGGTCGCATACAAATGACCATCGATCACGATTCGCCGATTCACTTGAGTTGCTACCCGGTACCTACTTGTATCTACCTCTCGATTCACCAGTGAAATTCGAAATTCACTGCTTTTTTTTTGAATGTTTAACTTCAATGTGAAATTCGTATTCTTGAAAGCAATTTTTGTTCGAGGCGAACATACACCGTATATAAAGCGTATATAATATAATTTTTTAAATGATAAAACGTGATTTTTTTCTACTTTGATTGCAAAAAAATCACCGTTTAAAGTCTCAAAAATGTCCGGCTTCAATGATATTCAATTAGTTGAGGCCTGAAACTCTGAATAAGTAAACATCACTAAAACTAGATGTTTGCTATTACTACTCGAGATGAATTTCCGTCATGAATACATTTTTCAAAAGAGCTGTGTACCTGATGGTCGATGATATTGCGATGGTCGATGATATTGTGACCAATCGCTCCAATTTAACCATTCTTTAATGCGAGTGTAGTTTGAGATCTTAAGGAAATTATAAATAGCAAAGATTTCACTAATGAATACCTGCAATTGACCAAAGTCGTCGTGGCCGGTATAGGAAATTCCTTCTGAAGACTTGCAAATATTGAAAAAAAGGGGATGTCTGCCTTCCAAAATAATGAGGAAACTTTTTTTAATGGTAACATTTAATGAATAATGAACACAAAGTGAAATTCGAAATTCATTGCTTTTTTTGAATGTATAATAAACCTTGCCAAAAACCAGTAGTACTCCTGAGAACATAAAAATGACGTTGAACCGAAAGGAGCATATTCAGAAAGAGAAGAAGAAAACTCAGCCGAAAAAGGTAAAAATTAGCCAATCTCCATCTCCTGACAACACCTGGTGGACCATCGAAGCAGATATCGCCACCATGATTCGAAACGACTGTATGAGGGTTCGGGACAGTCGTTGTTCTTTTTGTCTTCCCTGTTTTTGAAAGGTTTTGAGCACAATCCATGTTAAAAAAAGATCGCCAGAGTGTTCTCAGTGGGCTAACATTTAGGTGGTGGCTAGGGACCACTAGTATACTCCCCTAGAGTGGAATCTGTGGTCCTTTGAAAAGAACCTACAAGGGGCCTCTAGGTCAACTCTCTAGTGACCACTCACACGGGAAGTCATTTTACTTTGGGGTTTGGATTTTTCCATCAATTCGCTCACAAAATCTGTGATGATTTGTATGAAGGTCCATCTGAGTCGCAACTCGCGACAGTTTCTTTTTTTTAAGATAAAATAATTTCAAATTCGAAAAGTTAGCCTTAAAACTTTTATTTCGCAAACTTGAAAATCAATATCTCGATAACTAGTAGTTTGTGCAGATAGCGGATCTTCAATTAGACTTTCAGACAGTGTTCGAGCGAATCGGTAGAAAAAAATCCAAACGGCAAAAATAAAATGACCTCCCTTGTCATGCGTTCCTTATTCAGAGGCAAACAACGAAAGTACAAAAAAATATAAATTTTTGAGAAACAATTGTTTATAATTATAAATTCCATTTCACCAGGTTAGTAATCTAAATAATCAGGTTAATAATCTTCACCCTTTTTTTGATTACTCCAGTTGAAATCGATGAGAGAAAATGGACGCATTCAGCTTTTCGTGTTTTTCCAGACAGAAGAGACCGGTGGCATGATAGCTGTTCTGAACTTGAATCTCAATTTTTTTCAGGTTTTTTTGGTGATTCGAATTATTCTTCTTTTCCCTGGACTTGTCTCTCCATTTATCAAGAATTTTTTTATTTTTAATTATTATCTGACTCCTATTTATATTAATATTAATTGTTTTTTTAACTACGGCATTCTTAATTCGATAATACCAAAAATTTAACGAGGTATTAAAAAAAAGAGAGAGACAATTGTAATAAACGATTAAAAAAATCTTAGTTTTTGTGAAATGGTGTTCTTGAAAGCTTATAGTTTCAAAACTATCTTTATTTTCACTTCTTGAAAAACAAAAGCATCGAAAGAACTAAGTTCGCTCAATTGTGAAGTTTCTTTGAGCAAAAATCAAAAATTAGCTGAATAATGCCAATACTTGAAAATGCATCAGCACAAAAAAATAAAAAAATAAAGGTTCTTTGAAAAAAAGACAGTTTTTCGGCGGCAATTGTATTCTTGGGTTGAACGACCTGAAATATCAAAAAAACCTGATTTGAAAAAAATTCAACTAAAAAAACCGTGGAAAGATGAATATTGACGAACCAAAAATTGATTTCTTTTTAGTCAATGGCAAAAAACACATGTATAGACATTATAACAACAAAAACTACGCGACTGGTCAATATTTTCGAGAAACTGGAGAAAACTCTAATTTAACTTGAAATCTTTGCCTGAAATTCAAGCGACTTCAATTATATATCAAACAAAAATTCTTGAAATAGACATGCCAAGAAGGGTCAAGGAACAGCCACGTAGACTAAATATGACCACGCGGAAAAACCACGTAGACCAAATTTGACCGCCATACAGAAAAAAGTGAAAAACATTATTCAACTATTTTTTTACATCAAGCAACAGCTCGATTTGTAAGGTTGGTTTTCTTTTTTGTTTTTCGTTTGTTTAATTTCGAAAGTTTCAATTATTTAAAAAAATAGCGTGTTAGTTGGGAACTCAGTGAAGTCTAGTTATTTTTCTTTAAAGACCGCCAAGGTCAAGCCTCACAGTTTTCTGTAAACAAAATTGCAAAAAGAAAAAAATCTATACATGAAAACCAGAACAGACAAAAAAATGTAGAAAAACCTCTTCCTTCCAGCTCATACTCTTTTTCTCAACAAGAGCATCATTCGTGAAGAAAGCGACGCGTCTCTTCTTCTTTTTCTGAAAGATCTTCTCATCTCTAAAAAAAAGTGAATAAAATTTAAGTTTTTTTAACGAATCAAGGAACGTTAAAAAGATTGCTTTAATTCATTGCGCACATGCGCGTCAGATTTGACATTCGCTGTGTATACAGTGTTGACGCAATTTCCAATACTGTTTGAATCGGACAAGAATAAAATATTCACGAAATAGTATACGAAATTAGAGAAAAAGAAAGAAGAAAGCAGACATTTCTCCAAAATTTATTTCAATCAGTGGCGATTAGTTTTCATACATTCTTAGAATACTAATCATTTTTATACTGGGATTACTTCTAACCCCCGACATCAAACGAATCGACATGCATCTAAAAGAAAGCGTATTGTGTTTCTTATGACGAAATCTAGATGAAAAGGGTAGAAAGAAAAATGAGAACGTTAGAAGTGGCAAGATTAAGTTTGAATTGTTGTGAATCGAGGGGGAAAACAGTTGGTGCGCTCCAACGCTAGCTTCAGAAGCTTCGCACTCAAGCCACGCGTGAAAAAGTCGTAGAGAGCTTCTGAAAAAACTTTCGTTGAATTTTGTTGAGTTGGTCGGAACAAAGCGTACTATTTTTTTTTAAAAACCGTTATGCTTGGAGTCGCTTTCATTTACTGAAGGGTTTCGAAGAGTTGTTCAAAATTTATGAGCCGGACGGGAAAGGTTTTCCGTATCATTCCTTATTTCCTTCGTCTTTTGTTCAAGAGATGAACTCACGAAAGATAATCTGAAACAAGAAGCAATGGGCTTCGCGGTCTCTGAAAATAAGTTCCAATAAAGCTGAGACCTTTCTAACGCAAACCGGACGTGTCGGAGCATTTCAAGTGACCACTCTAGTAGCGTCAGACGCTTCACTAGGTAACTACTCGGGCTTGAGTACGCGTATTATGTTGAAACTACGGTGTACAAGAGAGATTGTCTGCTAAACCACATAGGCTTCTGAGAAAAAAAGCTTCTCGAAGAAATCGAAGAAGAGCGCCAGTTCCATTATTCACATTTTTAAGTAGGTTCAATTCCCGTTGAACGACCTGAAATATCAAAAAAACCTGATTTGAAAAAATTCAACTAAAAAAAACCGTGGAAAGATGAATATTGACGAACCAAAAATTGATTTCTTTTTTTAGTCAATGGCAAAAAAAACACATGTATAGACATTATAACAACAAAAACTACGCGACTGGTCAATATTTTTCGAGAAACTGGAGAAAACTCTAATTTAACTTGAAATCTTTTGCCTGAAATTCAAGCGACTTCAATTATATATCAAACAAAAAAATTCTTGAAATAGACATGCCAAGAAGGGTCAAGGAACAGCCACGTAGACTAAATATGACCACGCGGAAAAACCACGTAGACCAAATTTGACCGCCATACAGAAAAACAGTGAAAAACATTATTCAACTATTTTTTTACATCAAGCAACAGCTCGATTTGTAAGGTTGGTTTTCTTTTTTTGTTTTTTTCGTTTGTTTAATTTCGAAAGTTTCAATTATTTAAAAATAGCGTGTTAGTTGGGAACTCAGTGAAGTCTAGTTATTTTTCTTTAAAGACCGCCAAGGTCAAGCCTCACAGTTTTTCTGTAAACAAAATTGCAAAAAGAAAAAAATCTATACATGAAAACCAGAACAGACAAAAATGTAGAAAAAACCTCTTCCTTCCAGCTCATACTCTTTTTCTCAACAAGAGCATCATTCGTGAAGAAAGCGACGCGTCTCTTCTTCTTTTTTTTTCTGAAAGATCTTCTCATCTCTAAAAAAAAAGTGAATAAAATTTAAGTTTTTAACGAATCAAGGAACGTTAAAAGATTGCTTTAATTCATTGCGCACATGCGCGTCAGATTTGACATTCGCTGTGTATACAGTGTTGACGCAATTTCCAATACTGTTTGAATTTTTTTTTTCGGACAAGAATAAAATATTCACGAAATAGTATACGAAACTAGAGAAAATAAAGAAAAAAGCAAGCAGACATTTCTCCAAAAATTATTTCAATCAATGGCGATTAGTTTCCATACATTCTTAGAATACTAATCATTTTATACTGGGATTACTTCTAACCCCGACATCAAACGAATCGACAGGCATCTAAAAGAAAGCGTATTGTGTTTCTTATGATGAAATCTAAATAAAAAGGGTAGAAAGAAAAAATGAGAACGTTAGAAGTGGCAAGATTAAGTTTGAATTGTTGTGAATCGAGGGGGAAAACAGTTGGTGCGCTCCAACGCTAGCTTCAGAAGCTTCGCACTCAAGCCACGCGTGAAAAAGTCGTAGAGAGCTTCTGAAAAAACTTTCGTTGAATTTTGTTGAGTTGGTCGGAACAAAGCGTACTATTTTTTTTTAAAAACCGTTATGCTTGGAGTCGCTTTCATTTACTGAAGGGTTTCGAAGAGTTGTTCAAAATTTATGAGCCGGACGGGAAAGGTTTTCCGTATCATTCCTTATTTCCTTCGTCTTTTTGTTCAAGAGATGAACTCACGAAAGATAATCTGAAACAAGAAGCAATGGGCTTCGCGGTCTCTGAAAATAAGTTCCAATAAAGCTGAGACCTTTCTAACGCAAACCGGACGTGTCGGAGCATTTCAAGTGACCACTCTAGTAGCGTCAGACGCTTCACTAGGTAACTACTCGGGCTTGAGTACGCGTATTATGTTGAAACTACGGTGTACAAGAGAGATTGTCTGCTAAACCACATAGGCTTCTGAGAAAAAGCTTCTCGAAGAAATCGAAGAAGAGCGCCAGTTCCATTATTCACATTTTTAAGTAGGTTCAATTCCCGTCGATACCAAATCTTTTTTGCATTTTTCTTTAAAAGTAAAGTTTTTTTGGAATTCATAAAGTTTATGAAACATTTTTCTTGGTTCAGTTGCTTCTCAAAATAAATCAAACAAATGAAAGCAGTTTTCAGTACAACTACTACGCCTGCCAGCGTTGTTTACTAGTTGTGAAGAACATTTTTTTACGGAAATACTTTGGAAATAAGAAACTATATCGATAAGACTTCCAAGTATTTTCGAATTTCGTACTTTTACAAAGATCTTATAAAAAAAATAGAAGAAGATTTGCCTCCGACAGGAATTGAACTTACCTAAAATAAGAATCATGGGTCTGGCCCTGTAACCACTGCACCACGGTGAAAGATGGCGGTTCAGACGCGTACAAGTATTTCTCGATTTCTTCGAGAAGCTTTTGCTCAGAAGCCTATTTGGATTAGCAGACAATCTCTCTTGTTTCGAAGTACTCTTACCCAAGTCTATAAGGCGCCATAGTTTCAACTTAATACGCGAACCCGAGCACGAGTAGTTCTCAAGTTGAGTGATCCGAAGACCGGTCCGCGTTACCGAAATCTGAGGAGACAGAAAGAAAAGAATACTTACTTCACAGTAGTGTCCGAAATTTCGCTCCAAGAAACTTGAATTTTGAGAGAAGGATGTGCACTGTGCTCTGAAAAATGCGAATTTATAAAAATCACGAACTATTTTTTGAAGAAATCAAGTAAAGATTAAAAGATCATGAATTCTACAATTTTTAATCACTTTTCTGATAATTTTTAAACTATTATATCATCTCTTGAATTGCCACTATACTTAATCTTTATGGAGATCCTAGCACTGGGAATTTTTTTCTAAAAAGGTCGCCTCAACTTTCATTTATGTTAACATTGATGATTTTTTTCAAGAAAAATATTTGACTAACCCTGGGGAAAAAAAGATCGTGATAAGCTTTTTTTGAATCGTTAATTCTGAGATTTTTGAGCGTTTATCTAGATAACTAAAAAGATTAACAAGATTGATCATATTTTTATCGCCATCAAACAAAATAATATCACTGCAAATTTTTCAGAAAAATTTCACAGTGTGAAGTATTATCATCTACCTTCTAACAAATTTTCGAAGCCATTTTGAACTTTTGAATAGAAATATATATAGAAAAAAAGCCAATTTGAGATAGCTTTCAGTGAAAATCTAGGCTGTTTCAGAATAATCGATTTAGAATCTTGAGAGATTCCAAATTCCGTTGAAAAAAAGATGACGAATTTTTATGGAAGAAGTTAAAAAAATCCCTAACATCAACGATATTAGTCTATTTATTTAACTAAAATATTAATTTTTTTCAATTAAGATACTGAAGAGAAAATGGACGCCACGCCGAACAACACCACGGTTCGTTGTTTTTTTCTAAATTCCTTCATCTGAATTAAATTGGATTAACTGAAAATTAATTCAATTTAATTGAACACAATCAACTAAATTCTTTTTTTCGTTAATTCTGAAAAAAATAAGTCTTGAAGATATTATCTTAAAATATTAAAAGACGGGTTTTCATAAATAAACATAGGAATGAAAAAATCAGCTATGAATTAAAAGCGAAAACTTTTGATGGTGTTTTATTTAGGAACTTTGGGCCGTCGGAGACCTGGTCGTCCGACGAGAAGGCCTCGCCGTCGAGGTCTTCCACCAGGCCTCGGTGAGTTTTTCAAATGCTTCTTTCTCATCGATCGTCAAAGTCTTGACGAAACTTATTGAAGAAAATCGAAAATCTCGGAGAACTTGAACTTATATGTCCATTTTTCCTTTGTTTTACCAAAAATCCTTCGATAACAAACCACTTTTATTTGAAAATTTCAGGACGCCCAGTTCCGACGGACGGCCACGCAGACCGAGGTGAGCCTTAACTCTTTTGTTCATATTTCATCGAAAAAAAAACCAAAACTAAACACTTCAACTTTTCGAAAACCTAAGCTTTTATTCTTCAAAGTATTTTGCACTTAACTTTTAGTAGAAACATGGGAGACCTTTTATAGATCTAGAAAAACCTGACAAAAAGAGAAAAAAAAAATTGTAAGCATTGAATAACCGGAAACGACAAAAAGTTTAATCGATCTTTGATAATGGTCCTTCATTGATTTGAGATGCGTTCCAGGGAGATAACGGAACATAAATTTTGATGAAACTGCTTTTGACTACCGGATCAATAAGAAAATTTTTCAGCGCGTCTCGGAAATGGCGATGGACCGAGAGCTGGCCGAGCGCCAAAGACGTGTCCGACTCCTCATGGACACGTTGTTGGCTCGGACCCAGCTCGGAGGTACGGAACATTTTCAGAAATATCCCTCTTTCTCACAATTCCCAAAGCGGAACCGAAGATCCCAAATATATCATTAAATTCTTTTCAATCGGATTTTTAAAAAATCCTCTACATGATTTTACTCCTTGAAAAACCAGAGAACCATTCACTGTAGTCTCTCTTGAAAAAAATTTATTCTCAATTTAGCCTTATTTTGATTGAACAGACTTTTTAAATTTATAAAAAAAGGAGCTCTTAAATGTTTCAGTTCAAGATGAGCAAAGTGTCCCAGAAAACTCGTGCTTGGAAGTTTGCGCTAATTAAAAAAAGGCGAAATATTCGACCGGAATAAGAAAAATAAATTCCTAAGCTTCTTTTTCGAGTTGAGAAATAGTCAATAGAATCAACAAAAAGAGGAAAAATTTTTTTGATCATGAAAGCCTTTTTTTAAGTAATCAAAAAATTGTAACACACAAATACAAGGCTTACAACTTGATCTCAAAAATTATTTCATCGAAGAGAAAAAGAAAAATGAAACAGATTTGACAACTTGTGCCGCCTTCACATCTAGTCTTCATCTTTGAAACATTCCAAACTTGGTTCAAATATTGATAGTGAGACCATTAAGATTAGAATCGGAGAGATGAAAAATCCGAGCATTTTTTTCTTTTTCTACATAGTTTTGTTTGAGAAATAGAATTTCTTGAACCTCTTGCTCGCCGATAACCCTTGTTTTTCGGCATTTTAACGAATTATTTCAGATAGATTTCAAGAGAATTTGAGAAATACCTAATTTCAATCCAAATAAAAAAATGAGACTTGTGCCAGTTTGATGGCATCGCACAGAAAGAAACTTATGAGAAATAAAAAAAACTATATCACAGGTTAAAAAAAGTTATAAAAAGCGTATTTTACAGGTCCATACGTCGAGACCAGGGAGCGCGGAGTCCAAGCCGCAGACAAGGCGGAAGAGGAGAAGGAAAAAGGAGAAGTTGGAACTTCTCAAAAGGTCGTATTTTTATTTTTAAAAAAAATCCGTTTTTCATTTATATAACTATCCCTTATCAAAAAAGTTTCCTTCGCATTTTTCAAAACAACACTCTACAAAAATAATTGATCTATCGCTTTTTTTAGCAAGTGAATTATGAAATAGAGAAGAATAGATAAATATTCAAAAAAAAGTTTTAGGTTACCAAAAGGATGTAATAACCTTTTAACTAATTCAGTATCATTTCAGAGAAAAGGAAGAAAAAGAGAGGCGTCTGGAGGCCGCGACGGCCGAGAACGCAAGCCTGACGTGCTTACGGTTCACTACTCACGACGATGTTTTTTTGGTACCTTTTTCACCGGAAAGGACCCGTAAAATGATAATAATTATCATCTACATGTCACAACGTGCATCTACGCCATCAAACCACGTCAAATAATCAATTATGACGCAGGTATCGTATTAATTGATCTGCATCAACTTAACGTAAAAACAACTTCAGACAATACAAATCAGCGACACTGAATACGGGGCAACCTCATGTCAACTAAGAACAGAACCCGCAGAACAACAACCCGCAACATCCGCTTTCCTAACCAAATGATTGAACAAATTAACATCGCTCTTGAGCAAAAAGGGTCTGGGAATTTCTCAGCCTGGGTCATTGAAGCCTGCCGTCGGAGACTAACGTCAGAAAAGAGAGCATATACATCAATCCAGAGTGATGATGAATG